AAATTTTATTTTTAAGCCCCTATACTTATCCCCCACATAAAATATGCAAATATTAAGGTTAAATAATGTGTTTTCCCCATTTTGTATGCATTTTTTTTCTTGCACMTATACCTCATACTATTTCTTTGTAAGATTGTGTTTTCTTTATCTCATGTGAGCAGAGGGGACAGTGGTTGACTTGAATGAACCCTCAGATTTTTCTTGGTGATCTTAATGATGAGAATATGAACTGAGCATCATGCAACTGATAGCCCAATCATATTGATTTTAATGACTGMCTGGACAATGACTAGATACAGCTACAGACTCTGTGGTTATGTCTACAAAATACTAAGTGTAAATCTGATGGTTTTCTAGTAGCTTGAGTCCTCAAAGAGAGCTGAGCTGAAGGTAGACCTTAGAAACGCTGATATTTGCATTAAGGAGTTAGCAGAGTGATTACAAGCCCAGGATCCAGAATCAGAATGCTTGGGTTAAATWTCTTCCTAGAGTCATTTATTAGAAGTATAACTTTGGGTTAATTATGTAACTTCTTGTTTCTCAGTTTCTCCAAATAGAATGAGATTATTAATATACTTATTGCATTGGGCTTTTGGGAAAATTGAAATTGTTCTCATCGATAAAATGCTTAGTACCTGGCACATAATAAACACCAAATAATTTCTAGCTACTATTATTAGATCAGGAAGATGCTTAGAGATGGGTTTTATAGAGACAAAGATAGATTGGTGAAGGCAAGGTCAGTGCTCCTTTTGGTAAAATGGAAAGAATTTTGAACTTTCTGGTGAAGCATTAAATACACATCATTTGATTGACCTTCTAAACTGAAATATTTTGGAGGTTTCTTTCTACAAATACTCACCAAAAGTATTGGGAGTATCAAAAAAATACTCTTCCAGAGAAGCTGACAATATGTGTCATTTAATGACAGTTAAAGACCTCAAGATGATTTAGTTTGGTGACAAGAAAGTCAATAAAATAAGATAAAATAAAATCACTAGGTTGGACTTGTAAATGGATTTATTAACATATTTAATAATGTCAAGTACTTATTGAGTACTTATTACCTCACTTTAAATTCATTTAATTATTTGATTTTATTTAATTCTTTAGTCATTTAATTTCATTTGCCCTTATGAAACTCTGAAGTATCTTTAACTCCATTTTACATCTAACTAAACTGAGACTTGGAATAATGATGTGGTTTTTTCAAAGTTCCCAAAGTTGAGTACCAGGATCACTGTTTCAACCTGGTTGTGACAAACTTTAAAAGCCAGTTTTGTTTTTGTTTTCAGTGCTGTGGGTGGAACTGAGGGCCTCACACATGATAGGCAAGTGCTCTACCACTGAGCTATACCCCTAGCCCTAAAGCCAGTATTTTAATATCTATATTTCCCTCATGTATAGTTACTTATGTTAAGAACTATCATCAATATGGTATTTTTTGGTTTTACGAAGCACTTTAAAAGACTTAAAAGTTAAGCATTCTTTAGGTATCTATTCTGCAGGTAAGGACATTGAAGCTTAATGAAGTGGACTGATTTCCCCAGGATTATTCAGTAACTATGTGTTTTAGCCAGTTTTTTTYTTTTCTGCTGCTGTGACTAAAGGACCCCACCAGAACAACTGTAGAGGAGGAGGAAGAGTTTATTTGGGGGCACATGGTTTCAGAGGTCTTAGTTCATGGATAGCCAGCTCCATTCCTTGGGTCTTGAAATGAGGCTGAACATCATGGTAGATGAGTGTGGAGAGTGAAGCAGCTCACATGATGATCAGAAAGCAGAGAGAGAGAGCTCTCCACTTGCGATACAAATATATACCCCAAAGCCACATCCCAATTGCCACCTCTTCCACCCACACCCTACACACTTCAGTTGCCACTCAGTTAATTCTTATCAGGGGATTAATTCACTGATTGGGTTAAGACTCTTATAACCCAATTATTTATCCTCTGAACCTTCTTGCATTGTCTCACATGTGAGCTTCTGGAGGATACCTCACATCCAAACCATAATACTATGTATCTTATTCTTAAGGCTCCAAATTTTCTATTGTAGATACAATCCTYTAATTGTAGAGATTCTTACTAATTCCTTATCTACCATCAACGCAGTTGGCTGATGCAGCAGAGGTGCCAATAGGGAAGGGATTCATGAGGTATATRCTGACTGTACTCACACTGTCTTCACAAGTACCCAGCATCTTAGTTGCCACATTCTTGGTGACCTGATGACTAACTTATTTTTCCCCCTTCATTGACAATGTCAAAATTATAGCTAAAAATATCTAAATTAGACTTAAGTAAGAATATTTTGATAGTATGGATACTAAAATGCTAGGGGAGTTATGGGAGTTTGCCTTTCCCATAAGTTATGATACTCGTTCTACCTACTATATATTGTATATGTTATATTTCAAGTAGGCATCATTACAGTCAAAACATTTCAGCTTTTTGATGAAACACTGCTTATAAGTCCAATAGATGCTACAGGAGCTCACATCAGGAAAACTCATGGGCTTAAGTACATCAGGAAAATCAGGGATTATTAGTTTGGTTTGAATTAGTAGCAAATCATTCTACCCTATCTGGGAATTTGCCAATGAGATGACAACCAGAGTTAGGACCTGCTGCAATTGCTGTTATCCATGGTGATGGCTTTATACATTCCTCTCAAGATAATTAAGATATTTATATCCATAAAATGGAAAAGTGCCTATCTTAATCTATTTTATCTATAATGTCTACATAGAATCCACACATTTTAACAGGCTGAATATGAGATCAGGATCTTTGTGGAAAAAAAACACATTAATAAATCTTTCACTTGGTCTTTTTTCCCTTTCTGCATGTACTTATAATAAAAATTACCGTTGAGAAATATCTGAAAAACTGCTAGTCAGTGGATTGGAAGTCAGCCTGCTATAAACTCATTCATTCATTTATTCATTCATCAAATTTATATTGAGAAGGCCTGGTTTAGGGTGTTAGGTAGTGAATGGAAAAATGCAAAAATCCTGGGGCTCATGAAACTTATGTTCTGGGTGAGAAAGAGGGAACAGTATGAGTAGGTAAATGTGTAGAATATAAAATAATTACAAGTTTTGTGGAGAAAAGAAAAAGGAAGGGAAGGTGATAGGAAATGATCAGGGGGACAGAAAAGGTATCTATGAGAAAGGGACTTTTGGATGCAGATGTGAATGCAGGAAATGAAGGAACCTCACAGGATCTGGGGTTAGAACATGTGTTTTAGTCAGATTTTTTTACTGTTGTGACCAAAAAGACATGACAAGAACAGTTAGAGGAGGACATTTGGTGCTCATGGTTTCAGAATTMTCAGTCCTTCGATAGCTGACTCCCTTCTGTGGGGCCTGAGATGAAGAAGAACGTCATGGTGGAAGTGTGTGGCAGAGGAAAGCAGCTGGGAACATGGCATCAGGAAGCAGAAAGAGACTGTCCTCACATGGACAAAATATGTACCCTAAAGGATGCCCCCAGTGATCCCACCACACCCTACCTGCCTGCTATTACCATTCAGCTAATATCTATCAGGGAATTAATGTGCTGATTAGGTTAAGGTTCTCATAACTCCATCACTTCACCTCTAAGCTTTCTTGCATTGTCTYACATATGGTCTTTTGAGGGACACCTCATATCTAAACCATAACAGCATTTCAGGGAGGGGAACAGTCAGTACAAAGGGGTTCGGGGATGCTTAGGCAAGGACAGTGAATCTGGAACTCAGGCACAAGAGGGTGAGCACAGGAGATGGAATAGGGATTGTGGGGGAAGGAGGGTGGGAGAATGTTTACAGACCATGTAGAGTCTTATAGTTCAAAGTGTGCAGACTTTGACTTCCTGTCATTCCAAAACCAGAAGCGTGGGGGTAGATAGGGAGGGGATGTTTTGGAACACATGAAGATGAGGCTCTTTTTTTTTTTTTTTTTTTTTTTATTGTTGGTCGTTCAAAACATTACATAGTTAGAGGCTCTTCTTCTGTCAACTGAAATTTATTGAGCATCAGCCACATGGCAGGTACTGTGTTATGCTCTGGAGATCCAAACAAGAAAAGATATTCTCCCCTAAGTTATTCAGTTTTGTAGAGGAGATAAACAGAATCTGGTAGAGAACACACAGTTAACTGTTAAGCCTTTTGGACATTCATGCACAAGTGACAGGTATACCCCATACGGTGAAAAAAAAAGTTCTTGAGAATTTGTAAATAGATTGAAATTGTATCCACTGAACTATATTGAGAATGAACTCTGGGGTATTAATAATGCAGTAAATCTATGATTTATCATCTTGTGAAATGAAAAAGTACCTTCTATTAGTCAGACTAAGTGTTCCTACTCTTGTTTTGGCTTAAAGTTTACATATAGCTGAAATTACACACCTTGATATGGAAGGACTAATATTTTTCAGACTTGCTCAAGTTATATGGCCCATGAATGTAAGCTGTTACTAACAGACTGGTGCTGCCTCTTTCACCCAGGTTGGTCATATGAAGGGCATGGCATAACTCAAAGTTCATAGGGCTTCATGACATTTCCAAGGCCCAATACAAAGTTTCTTCTTCTTCTTCACTGGAATAGTTTTAGTCTTATTTTTTTTCTACCTAGTTGTGTTAACTTTTCATCATTGTGACCAAAATACCTGACCAGAACAGCTTAGCGGAGGAAAAGTTAATTTTGACCTCATGTTTTTAGAGGTTAAGTCCATGGTCTCCTGTCTCCATTGCTCTAGGCCCAAGGTAAGGCAGAGCGTCATGGAGCAAGGACATGGTAGAGGGAAGCTGCTCAACTCATGGCAGCCTAGAAGGAGAGAGAGAGAGAGAGAGAGAGAGAGAGAGAGAGAGAGAGAGAGAGACACACACACACACACACACACACACACACACACAGAGAGAGAGAGAGAGAGAGAGAGAGAGAGAGAGAGAGAGAGAGAAAGAAAAAAAACAAAATACAATTCCCTAAGGCATGCCCCCAGGGACTTTCTTCCTCCAGTCATGCCCACCTGCTTACAGTTACCACCCACTAATCCACTCAAATTATGAATCCATCAAGTGGACGAATCTACTGATTAAGTTACAGCCCTCATAATCTGGTCATTTCACTTTTGAACATTCCTATATTAACATGAGCTTTTGGGGGGACACCTCATATTCAACCATAATACTACTCCGCATTAATAGTTTCATATATCAAACTAGCAGTAAACTTCAAATCTTAACATTTTTTACTTTTTCTTATACAAGGCTAGAAAATGCCCCAAATCTATGCAGTGAATCTAATTTATAAATGTATTAGAAGTGTTTTATGGTTTTAATATGATTTGAGTGTGTCCCCCAAGGGTTTGTGTGTTAAGAGCTTGTTACCCAGCGTGGCCCTATTGAGAGGTAGTAAGACCCTTACGAGGCAGTGCCCGTGCCCCTCCCTCTAGCTTCCAGTATTGCCATGTGATTTCTCCTGTTCATGCTCTTGCCATCGTAATACCCTCTGCCATCAAGTCTCCATCGGAGCTGAGCTGATGCCAGTGTCTTGCCTTTAACCTCTAGAATGGTGAGTTAAATAAAACTATTTTTTTTTATAAAGTTCCCCACTCTCAGGTATTTCATTATCKAAACAGAAAACTGACTAATACAGGGTCCTCCTCTCTCCAGTCAGAATTCTTCAAGGAAAAAGTAATAAGGACTTGGTGAACACCTTGAATCAACCACAGTTGATTTGTGAGCCTACTGGTAATAACTACTTATTTTTTTCCAAAATGAAAACTATTCTTTCCCAAGACTCCCAGAGTTTCTTCTTATTGTAACATTGGTTTTAAAGTTCAGGATTTTGTCATCTAAATCAGGTCCAGCTATGGATTGGTCTTCCTGGGGGTAGTTCTTTGAAAATGGTTTCTCTTAATCTGAAGATAAGTTATCTGCCATCCCTCCTCACACACGTATACTTCATAGATGATGGTGGTAGAGAGAGAACTGTGTAAACACTCGMAGTCAGAAAAGTGGGAGGTGGGATGGGAAGCTAAAGCAGTTACTGATCCACGGCAATTATGAAAACTGAGCTGGTCACATGTTGCCAGTTCCTTGATTAGATTCCAGTCTTGCTTTCTTGGAATAATTCTCTGGAGCTCTTATGTCTGTTCTCATATATATTGGTTCCATCTTTGAATCAGCTTTCCTTAAATAAAAAAAAAAAAGCATGTCTGTAAATAAGTAGCTTTTTCAGCCTCTGTCCTTCTGTCAGAAGATGGGGAGTCTCAAGGCTTCATCCTGTTCTGTCTGTCCTCTTTAGTCAAGACTGCTGACACTTCTTCCAACACAATACTCTTAAAAAGTTTAATGGATTTCCCATGAGTTGTTGGCCTCACCTTCATATCTCTTTACTACATCCTTCATTATCTTGAGCCCTATAATAGGCTACTTATAACACAATTTGGATACTTAGAGGTTCTCTTAATTCACAGTGTCAATGATGCTTGCCTGTAGAACCTTAGAAAGCCCTTTTGTAGTGGAAAGGGGCATCCCCTCAAATCTCTCTGATGTCCACCTTCCATCYATGTCCATCCATCTGTAGTGGGAATGAAACCTAGGGCTTTGTGCATGCTAGGCAAGCATTCTACCAGTGGACTATACTACTGGAACCCTTTCTGAGATCTTAACAAAGACTTGGGATTTGATCTATAGTAACCATTTCTTACTTTGAGAATCCTTTTTGAGAAAGACTGGAGGTGAGAAACAGTTTATTTTGATATCCAGTAAATCCTGGATCCTTTGTAATTCACCTGAATTCTCCATTTTTTTGAATAGTCTTTTTTTTTTTTAAAAATTCATCCTTCTCTTCCTGAATTTTATTAAAGGCAGCTTCAAGAAACATTTTTCAACATTCTACCTAGAGATCTTCTTAGTCATCATCTCAAAATCATTAGATACTCAGTCTCTTCTATTTTCAGTATTACTCTAGGCAAGAATTTTGCCAACTGTTCTGCTGGTTTTWAATTCAGGTGCCTTTTCAAAAGCCCCCCTCCCCCATATTTTTCTATCCTTCATGTTCTCATTTCCATGAAGCTCTTCCAGCTGTCATTAAACACCCCCTCAAGGCCCTAAGAACTGGTGGTACTTCTTGGTCCCCAAATCACTGTCACCCATTTTAGATTTTCATGAGAGTACCCTTCTGATAACAAATTCTGCTCTACTTATGTACAGCCATGTGAAAACCACRTAAAAACTTGGTGGCTTAAAACAACCATTTTATTTTGCTCATCATTTTGTGGATCAAGAATTTGGGAAGAGTTTGCTGGACACTTCTTCCTTTGGATCTCTTCTGTATTTGCAGGCAGATGTCGGCTAGATAGCACTGTGGTTAAGGGCTGGAAGTCCAAATGGGTCACTCCCATGGCTGGCAGTTGATGCTGGCCATTGTCTGGGAATTCAGGTGGGGATGTTGACCTCTGTCCATGTGGCATGGGCTTCTCACATCATGGTGACTGGATTCCAAGAGGGAATGTGTTGTGAGAGAATGTTTCAAAAGACCTGGATAAAAACTGCAAAGTTTCTTATGAATTCACCTTGAAAGTCCCAGAATGCCACTTGTACTGAATTCTAATAACTTATATACCATGGGCAGAGCTATTATTTTCTTAATGAGATGGGGAACAAATAATTTGTTGCTATCTTTAGTTTTCCACAGTGACTATCAAGAGTTCTCAAWAACTAGCCCACTCTTGAGAAGATTCTGCTGACATAAGAGCCAGCTGTTAAAAAAAAAAAAAAAAAAAGGGAGATGATTTGGGGGACTCTCTGGATCTAGGAGAGGGATTTAAAAAATTTTTTAATCCAGAGAACCCTTCTTGCAAAATGCTTTTGTTCTGAAAAGTTCCTCAAGTTTTTGAAATCCTGCAAACTTTTTGAAGAGGACTTTCTTCTTTGGCTCATTCATATCATTCTTCCAGTTTTGAATGCCCTGGACTCATCTGCACATAAATTTTGAAATTGTGTGAATCCCTGTCAGAATGATCCATTTGTTCACTTCAGCTGAACAGTCTACCCTATTTTACAGTCTGCAGCAGGATTCAGTGATGTTCAGCAGTGGTAAAGGCTGACCTTTGTTTTGGTGAGCTGAGTACTGGAAACAGTGGGGTGGTGAAACCCTTGGTCACGTCCTCTGTGTGAGGGGATGTTGGAGGCTCCAGAGCTTATGCCATCCATGTAGGTGTAACGATTCTCAAGGTGTCTGTGTTGAAGGGGTGAAAGAGAAGGACCAGGAAATTTCAGTGTGCCTCTGAAGCAGTCAATCTCTAGGCATCTTGAGCTCCAGGTCCCCAGTGACTGACCTCTATTCTTAAATGGGGACCTGTTCTTAGGATACTTTTTGGTATGGTCCACACTTGGAGTAAACAATAAAAAATGAGGACTTTAATTCTAGAATTACTGGATGTTTGCCTTCTAACTCAGAGTGGCATTCATAAAAGGATGGGGGTGGAAGCAGGGCTAACCCTAACAGGAAACTAAAGCCAAGAGTCACTTGGGTAAAATTCGAGATCATATGCATGCAATGGTTTGGAATGTAAGAAATCATAACTAATCAAAGTCAGTGATTCCTTGTCATCAATAAGATAGGTTTGGAGGAAGAGACCAAGAAAGAGGAGGAGAGCAGGATTTCCCTATCACAGGGTTGGTATCATGGTTTCAACTCACTGATAAACTGGGAGTGAGTTTTTAGCATGCTATGTTCAGAAAAATCCTGAGGCCTTGTTTGGTATGGGTACAAAAGTGTACCATGATTGGTTAACKCTGTCTTCTAGGGATCCAAGGCTGGGTGGGGCTGGCAGTCTATGTGCCATGTGTATGTCTGTGGTCCGGCTGTTGAGGAGGTTCACACATGAACTTCAGGATATGATGACCTTGGAAAGCTTTCTAGCGAGCAATAAAGTAAGCTAGTGATGTGGCTTAGAATTAGAAACTATTTGAACAGGGATGATTTACCCCTTAAAAAGGCCAAGGCACACTTACCCCAATTAAAAGACCTTTAATGATATGCTGTATTCTGGAAGTCAGAAATTAAAACCACTCAGAATTCTCTAAACACTGGACCTTTTCATATACTGTAACCATTTTGCCACTAGCCTCTTTGACTTTTTTGGCCTCTTCTTTAAAAATTTTGCCTACTTTACTGTCTACAATCCCCAGATTTTATCTAGAATATTGGATGACTTCAGATTTTCTTCCAACTACAGTATTTGGCTCCATTGATCAAGACAGTCATTGGCGTAGGTGGAGGCAACCTCCCCCACTAGGGCAGGGGTGTGTTAGAAGGTAGAGGAGATGTGTGTTTTAAAATAGTACTTAAATTGATTGAAGTGAAAGATGATACCTGGTGAGAAGTTTCCTCTCCAACTGTGAAAAATGGAGAATGTTTGCAATTTCCTCATCTCCTTGAATGGCATATCCAAAACTTGGGTGCTTCATCTAGTTCAGTCCAGAACGTTAGCAGAGAAACACATCTAAATAATTTGATTATAAGGAATCAGAAAATGGCCTCATACCTCTTACCTGAGATTAAGGTGGTCTATGGATCTATGTCTATGGGTAGCAAAAAATGTGTATGGAATAGAGCATAGAGTTTGTAGCCAACTTTCTTGGTTTTTCTCAGAGCCTATTTAAAGTGGCTTTGCATAACATCTAAATGCAATAAAACTTTTATCCCATTCCATGTCATGAAGTCCTCTTGTAATATTCTTTTCACTGGTTTATACAAATATAAACCTGAGCACCATGGTAAGAAAATCAATTAATACTCGGCTCGTCTGCATTTGATGTTGTCCCAAATCTATCATATAGATAAAGCCCATCTATCATAAGTAAAGATAGTCTTTTAGTCTATCCCAGTTCATGTTTTTGTATCAGTTATCAGACATCACAATTTTAACAGGAACCTATACAGCTTGTTGTAAATCTATCATTGTAATGATTTTTTAAATAAAAGGTTCATTTGCTTTAATTCAACAGTTTTATTTTTAATTTTTTGTGGCACTGAGGATTGAACCCAGGAATACTTTACCACTGGTCCACATCCCAGCCCTTTTAATTTTTTTTATTTTGAGACAGGGACTCACTAAATTGCTTAGACTGACTAGAACTGTCAATCCTGCTGCCTTAGCCTTCTGAGTCACTGGGATTACAGGTGTGCACCACTGTACCTGGTAGTTTTATTTATTTATTTTCCTCCCTAGAATAACTGTTTTGTGTGAGGTTAAGTTAGATGCTGCAGTCTGCAAAGACTTCAGACATACCTCTATCCTCAACCCTATCCTCAAGGATTATATGAATTTATGGGGGACAAGGGTAGAACACTTCCTCACCCCTTACTAAAGGACACCCATAAGTACAAAGTAGAATTATGGCAAATACCATGAGAAAACTGCAATAACTTATGAAAGTCCAAGTGGTGGAGAAATTGTAAGCGAAGGTGGAGATTGACTATAGGGAGGTAGCATTTAGGAAGAGATTTGAAGGATGAGTAGGATTTTGACATATGGAAATAGTGGATTTTTTTAAAGAAAATCAGAGGTTGGGTTAGTAGCAACTCTATCTGGGCTCTTTTCACAAGGTTAAGAAGTTGTATAGTAAAGGATTAGAAGAAAAGGCAGAAAAAAGTAGAAAAAACCCCCCAAAAAACTGCATAAATTTGAGTACCATTTTAGGGTATTTGTTTATAATTTGGTAAGTTATGGAGAGAACTGATTTTTTTAAACATTAGCAGTAATATCATCAGAGTCAGTAATGGCATACTTTAAATAGAGTTCATCTCAAATGGGCCTCTCTGTTTATGAAGATTTTTATCTATATATGCACATAAATATGTACATATAAATTTTCACAGCCAAAGGAAAAGGTTGTATATTATGGCATAAAATTATATTTTTTTGGCTCTGACTCAGCAGTCATAAAATCTAAGTATTTCCAAGCATAAGAAAGATGGAAAACACTCTTTATAACATCTTAAATAATTGTATGGAGGCCAATCCTACAGCCCTTGTGCATAAGTAGCTCAGATTGAATTTTAGGAGAGTTTTTTGAACATTTCAGCATTAACTTTTGGGCATAGAAACAGACCATATATCTAATGGCTAACTTCCTTGTGAACTTTTAGTCCCAACTACCTACAATGAAATGTTCATATATGCATTTAAATGCAACTATTAAGAAGAACTGGAACCTTTTCCTATGTCTGTTGCCTAATAAAACAAACTTTCCAAACTAATCCCGAGGGAGTAAAAAAGTGCAATATAAGTTTTCGATTCCAAGTAAAAGGACATAACTGGAAATCACACAAGACTCTGTCAGGGAAGCATTGACATTTGATTCATCCATGAATAAATTATGGTTGTAGTTTGAGTGCTGGGTAATGCCACTACCAATAAAAATTAATGTAAGCTAAACTGTTTACCCAGGACAGGTGAGTTGGAGTCATGCAGAATCCAGTGAACATTAGAAGGGAATATCTTATAAATGTTCTAAGAGAACAAATGAATACTATCATATTTATTTATTACCTTTAATTTTTCTAATGTAACATCACAGAATGGCAAAATTCACTGTTTTTTTCCTTCTTTTTTTCTTCTAAGTTTTAAGACTAAGCCAGACTATTATCAGCCAGAAAATACTGAGAGAAGTCAAAGTTTGAGTTCTGCTGTAATATTTTTGCTTCTCTTACAAAACAGATTAAAATATGGAAAATAATCAGTCTAATCAATATGTCTAGATCTATTAAAACTGCCTTCGTCACTCCAGTTTAAATTTTTTAATTTTTCCAGATGGTAACAGAAGAGGAGAGATGGAGGGGCTGACTTTTAAATCATGATAGGCTTGTAGGTGGTGGTAATAACATAGAATTAGGCAAAAATCTATTGTGTACCATGAAATTTTTATAGTGTTGGGCACTTTAGAGTGATAGGAGGGAGTTTAGAACCACCGCAGCCAGGCAAAGGAAGTGGTCAAGGTTACAGGCAGTAGGGTTGGAGTTAGGGTTGGTCATGGGGATGGGGGCAAAATTCAAAGCCAAGTATCCCCTTGTTAGGAGAACTGCAGGTCTGCCAAACATCTAGTAACAAGAGAGGTGATGTTACCAAGAAGCCTGCTATGGGAATTTTGTTTACAAAATCCCCCTTGGTCAGTGAGATTCTTTATCCTGGGCAACTCGGAGGTTTTCTTCTTCCTTCATATTCAGTTCCTAAAGTAAAACTATCCATGTCTTTTACAACCCTATCTTTTTTTTTTTAATTATTATTTTTTTATTATTTATATGTGATGGTAAATGCATTATAATTCTTATTACACATATAGAGCATATCATCTTGAGTAATTCACACAAAACACTTTCAGGAATTAGTCATATAAGCCCTTAAAAAAATACTGAGATCAGATAGAGGTTTTTTTGTTTTGTTTTGTTTTGTTTTGTGTGTGTATGTGTGGGTGTCTGTCTGTCTGTTTTGGCAAGGAGCTATCTGACAGGTCTCCCTAACCAGATCGGACAGCCTAGAAGAGAGATGACCTTCATGCTGCCATTGAATTAGAGATTCTCCCCTTTGATCTCAGTTCTGTATGAGATTTTAAATACCATTCCTTTCAAAAACAATGGTGCCCTTGTTTGAAAATTGTTTGAAATCTATAGCTCAGAGACTATTGTGTTTAAAGTTGTTCACTGTTCTCAGAAATTTAGTATTTTCTTTTTGTCTTTGGAAAAAACACACTTTTTTTTTTAATTCATGGCAATTTAAATCTATTATTTTGGTTACCAATTTGGGCATATTTCATTGACCTTCAACTTCTACACAGACAACTGAATTCCCCAGTCTGATTCAGTCACTCTGGTTTGGCTCTTAACATGATAATTATACAGTGTAAAGGTTTATTTTGTTTCTCTAAAAAGTGACATAGGGTGCAAATGAGGATGTTTCTTGGTATCTATGTCATGACCTCTAGCATTGCCCCCTAGGAGACCTCAAGGTCACACAGTCAACAATTTCATGTGCTTGGAAATTACCAGCTGGCAAAAACTAAAACTTGAGGCTAGAGGTGGCTTCTAGGATAGGGCAGGTGTGAGGCTGATTGTCCACATGTAGGTAGGAGGGGAAAAATCTAAGCAGAAGAATAGTGTGCAAATCCGTTACCATGGAGACAGGCTGGGGTTCCTACAGGAGTCAGCATCAGGAAGTCCAGCAAGTGGTAGGTGTTGCTTTCCCAGCTATCCAGGAAGTCCAGGTGAGACCAGTTGGCAGTGACCCAGAAAGATACAGACTGCAGGCTGCAGAGAGGACCCACACACAGGATCAGCATTCACCAGCCAGGTTGGAGCCCCCAGAGCATTCTGACTAAGGCTGGGGAGATAAATAGCTCAATTTGAATGCTGGCCCCACCACTAACTAACCACTGGCTCTTGCCAAAATATTTAATTTCTCTAAACTTCAACTTCTACAAAGTCACTAACTAATCACTGGCTCTTGCCAAAATATTTAATCTCTCTAAACTTCAACTTCTACAAAGTCTATAAAATGAGATAAAGCCTACCTTGGAGGATCATTGTGATGTTAAAGTGCTCACCACATGACTGAACTACATTAAGAGTATAACATTTAATAAGTGATTTTTAAGAATTGGCTACTAGGGTTATTTTTAGAGCAAAGAATGTGAGTATAGAAAAGAGGAGTTTAGTTACTAGAGTTAGGATATCCTGCCAGAACAATATGAGAAGAAGGATAACCATGAATTAATATTCGCCTTCTTGGTCTGGAGGCATATTGGAGTGGAACTGAATTTGCATGTGGGTCTCATGGGATCATCTTTGGGAATGAGTAGGTCACAGGGAATAGGAACTAAACAGAATGTTATACTTTAATCATCTAACTGTGTTCACATGAACATGCTTAAACCATGATCATCCAAAAGCTGTTTCTGAGAAGTTAACTCATCATGGAAGCCTTTCCCAAGGTTTGTTATCTACTGTGGAAGCTTCATCCATAGGAGGAGTTTTATGAATCTGAAATCATACCRTTCATCACATTTTTATTGTAAAATTAAAAATATTGGATAGGAAATATATTATAACTGAGAAAACAGTGGCTTCTCTTCACAAGAGACTTGTCACTATTTTCTTCCAGCTTTCCTTAAGTTTTGAGTAATGGAGCCACATCCAGAAGCCAAGTTTTCTGAGTCTAGGCTCTAAGATTTTTTTCCCTCTTTCTCTATTTTGACTGCAAGTCCATGGTGTATTTCTATTTGCTCCTCTCCCATTTCATTTGTTTTAAACAATAGCCTGTTGGACTTTTCCCAAATGACTAAACACTTACTGGGTACCAGAACTCTATGGGATGCTCCCAGCCATGTGTGGTCTATCCCAGCACTGTTAAAAGGGGCTACAGAAGACACACAACTTAGTTCCATCTTTGACCTTGGCCATATTTTATTTTGTTTGAGCCAAAGTTAAGTCTATGAAAGAGCAAATGTAAGAATTTTTGTGAGCTTCAGAAGGAATAGGTGCTGTGGAAAGAACAGCGCTCTAGGGACTGGGCTCAGTGGTAGAATGCTCGCCTAGCATGTGTGAGGCACTGGGTTCGAACCGCAGCACCAAATAAATAAATAGATACAATACCTTTATTTTGTTTGTTTGTTTATCTACAACTGAAAAAAACAAAACAAAACACAAACCAAAAACCAAAACAACAAAAATAGGGCTCTAGAGGATAGTTTGAGTGTAGAGTCCTGTTTTGGAAACAGTTTTTCCAGAAAGCATTTGTGTTCCATAGCAGCCAGGATCAGAGCGAACAGTGGTTCTTGTCAAAATGGTATCAGATTTTTCCTCTGATCAGGACCCTCCATTGGTTTCGCTCTCTGCTTTCGTCCCCCAGTATTTCCAGCACCCCACCCTGTCCCACTTCTGATTCTGCCTGGGAGAATCAGATTTCTATGCCAAGTCTGACCACAGAAGGAAGATGCGTGGAGACTGTTTGTTATTTCTTGAGCAGAGCAAACATGCTAGCTTCTCGGGGCCTTGGACATGGAATGGCTTGGAATATTTTTACATGGAGTTTCTTAAAGTCTCCTACTCACAACAGTCTCTGTGTTTGTTCATGTTCCCCCTCCAACTCCAATCAGTCTTTCTCTTTTTCCTTCTTCTTATCTCTCCACCCTCAGCTGCCTGGCTGACTCTCTAGGTCTCTGATCTTGTCCTCAGTGGTCTTTGACCTCCATCATCTTACCCCACAATGCATTAGAAGCCCTTTCCTGGGTACCTCTATAGGACTCATATGACACTAGAATTATCTATTATTGTGCCTGTTTCCCCAAACAGTAAGGGCTTCTTATAGGCCAAGGCTATGTCAGATTTATCTTGAATGTGTGAGTGATGGATTAGCTGGTCTTCAGTACCTATTTGTTAAATAAGAAAAGACAAGGACTGAATTTTGGGAAGTTATTCTGAAATCTGAGGGTGAAGTAGTTGGGAAGATTTTAACTTGGAGGGTGTAGAGAAGACCTGGGAGAGAGTTTCATTAGGTCAGACAGTTTGCAATGGAGACACGGAACTGGAGAAATGGTAGTTCATACACTGTGGGTGGAATTTTCTTGTCTGTAAAAGTTGGATTTTTGTTTTGTTTTGTTTTTATACGAGGAATTGAACTCAGGGGAGCTTTACCACTGAGCTGCGTCCTCAGCCCTTTTTATGTTTTTTTTTTTTTGAAACAGGGTCTTGGTAAGTTGCTTGAGGCCTTGCCAAATTGCTGAGGCTGGACTCAAACTTGGAATCYTACTGCCTCAGCCTCCCCAGTCACTGGGATTACAGGCATGCACCATAGCACCCAGCCAAAATGGGGTTTGAACAGCATTTATGAGAGAGGATTTCTATGAGAATATGTCAGATTGAGAACTCAACACATTTTAATTATTATTATTTGAAGAATCTTAGCAGCAATGCTCTATAATAGTGAAGACCAATGCTCTGGGGCACATTGAGGATTGACTTCCAGAGTGATTTGCTGAACTCCCACACATTTCTTAATCTCTTTTCACCTAAGTTTTTAAATATTTATAATGGAAGTAACAAATAGCACCTCCTAAGATTGTTGTAAGATTATATTAATGCATCTTCTGTGTTTTGACCTGGCATGTAGTAATGGTTTAATAAATGTTGGTTCAACATACACACACACATACATGAGTGGAAAGAAAAATTGTCAAAGTAGAATCAACATGACTTTATAATTAAATTAATGTGCACATGAGCATGTGGGTTTGAGGTAGAGTAAGATAGGAGAAGGAATCTGAGATAAATTTTGTTTCAGGACTGAATAATCTTACAGATGATACCTTGAACCATGATTGGGAGCTGAGAAGCTAAAAGAATTTGGGAAGTTGGGCCAATAATTAACTCAATTTTGTAACCGGTCAGTTTTTTTTTTTTTTTTTTTTAAAGAGAGAGTGAGAGAGGAGAGAGAGAGAGAGAATTTTTAATATTCATTTTTTAGTTCTCGGCGGACACAACATCTTTGTTGGTATGTGGTGCTGAGGATCGAACCCGGGCTGCATGCAAGCCAGGCGAGCGCGCTACTGCTTGAGCCACATCCCCAGCCCTGTAACCGGTCAGTTTGAAATGCTAATAGTATAAACATTACTTTGGTCTCGTAAACCAAAAATGAAGTCTCAAAATTCTTAGAGTAATTTTGGGCATCTGTGTATTAATGTTAAGAAAGGAGGGTAATTTCAGATCTAGAATTTATGATTTAAGGACCATTACCACATAAGTATAAAAAATGATAATAGCTAATATTTGTTGAAAACGTTGAATACTGTACTAAACATTGTATATACATTATCTCAATTTTCTCTGCATCCCTAGGAGGTAAATACTATTAGTAGATACATTTCACAGGTAGGAAAACAAAGACACAAAGCAGATGAGCAACTTTCCAAGGTCACCTGATTGAGTAATGAGTAAGGGTTTGACTTCAGACAGTTTTATTCTGGAACCTCCCCTCTCTATTCTGGGACTGTCTCCAAATGAAAGGTTGAAGATGCGATTGGTCAAGACAGCATGGCAAGAGAGGATGTTCCAAGGGGGTATGATTTTGAACTTAACCATCCACAGTCATTCCCTTGACATTCTCAAGTGAAAGAAAAGGTTCCCCTTTATAAAACCAAAGGCAAGAGTTCCATAGGTGATGTGTGATGAAAGCGTGGGTATTAGAATTTCAGACTTTGAGGTCTTTAACTATCCTAACTGGTTCAGGTTCAGGATAGTGTTGAGACACCAAACCCTGTCTTAATAGCCAGGCACTCTGTCCCATTATTCACAACAAAAATTGGATGTATCAGGTATGATTCAAAACAGACTCCCACTTCCCAGCCCTGACTTTACTACAGTGTGTATTGGGGTCAGCCTGGCATGGGTCAGCCTGGGAGAATCTGCTGGGCAGCCTGTTTGAAACCTCCAACACTGACCAACCCAGTTTGCTGGGAATTGAAATGTGGTATTTTCGTTATATAAAGTACAGCCATAAAGAAATGATATTGCTTTTCTGTATGAGTCCTAAACCAGCTATGAAGGTGATTTTAAAAGAGAAATTCCCCAAATGTTTAGAGCAATCACAGGATCACTGAGGTAATTACGTAGCCTCCCCAAGTGACTATTTCGAAGGGAAATGCTAGTTTGGATGTGTAGTTTCTGGTGTATTTAATAAATACCACTTTCATTACTAAAAGAACTTCCTTCATAAATGTGATTTTTCTGGATAGAAAGGGAAACGTAGAGGAGCGGACCATTCATTCGGTGTTATTACTATGTATTCTCCATTTCATTGTTACTCTCTCTGTTTGGAGTGGAATCGATCAATTGGGTCATTTTCTGAGCTCGATGGACCATCATCATCCCTGTTTATATTTGAATTGTTCACAGCACTTTGGCCTTTATAGAAAAGAGCTCTGAACTGATGCAAAGACTTCCATTAGAATTCTATGGAACACCCTTCCATCATACGATTTGACCTATGGAGATCTGAATCCACTCAATGATTAACATTTTTTTTTTATGTCAGGGATCTGCTAAATTTTTATATTTCAGTTTGGTCTGGKTTTGGTGTATAAACAGTAGTCCCCTGGGCTGATCTAGTAGGTCTCTGTACGATTCATGACTTACCACATTTCTGTGAGGTTTCACATCTGCTGTTGGAAACAGCCATTCTATATGCTTTATCTCATAATAATTACACAGAAAATTAAAAGGATCAATTCTAATTTAACGATCTTTTTGCTTAACCAGTGTTTTGCTCTGCTTACAGATTGAATCACTTTCTCACTTGATTTTTCTGTAAGATAGGGATCCTCTCCACTTAATTAGATCATTATGAGGTATAACTAGAATTGGAAAACAAAGGTGCTTTTAAAGGGGATCTAACTATGGACATATTACCTTCATTTGAATTTCTGCCATGGTGCATTTCTCTTTGGCCAATCATTCATTGACCACACACTTACTGGACACCTACTCTGTGACAATGGCTCTTCTAGGTACAGGAGATAACACTGTGTGGAAAAAAAAAAGTCAGTGTTTTAGTCAGCATTTTCATCACTGTGAGCAAAAGACCTGACAAAAACAACATACAGAAAAAAGTTGTTTAGCTCATGGTTTCACAGGTTCAGATGATGGCTGGCCAACTCCCTAGCTATGGAGCTAGGTGAGGCAGAACATCATGGTAGAAGGATGTGGCAAAGGAAAACTGCTCAGGACATGGCAATCAGGAAGCAGAGAGAACGCTCTGCTCACAAGGGACATAATATAACCCCCCAGAGGCACATCCCCTCCAATGACCCTCTTCCTATAGCCATACCCTACCTGCCTATAGTTACCACCCAGTTAATCCACACAGGTGGGTTAATCCACTGATTAGTCACAACTCTCATAATCTAATCATTTCACTCTGAACGTTTTTGTATAGTCTCACAAGCTTTTGGGGGACACTTCATGTATAAACCATAACAGCCAGAAAATGTTCTGCTCCCACGAAGCTTGTAGACATAAAGGGCGAGGYAGACTGTAAATGGAATGAATAAGTAAATATCAAGTGTATTTGAAGGTATTGAGGGAAATGGGGGAAAAATAAAGTAGGGAAGTAGGAAGGGAACACTGGACTAGGGACAGATGATGTTTCAGTTTTAAATAGGGTATGGAGTGGGTGGGTCCTCCTAAAAGAGTGACACTGAACATGTAACAGTTATCCAGTGGTGTTCCTTAAGATGTTGGTCCTGAGAAATGTGAGCTAGAAAGGGGTTTCACCATTCAGTCAGTTTGGAAATTTTAGGTTTCAGACATTTCCAGTGCTCCTTAGCATATGAAATGATTTGAAAAGGCCTGGTAAAATTAAACCTGTTTAATTCAGATACATTTAACYGTATTTYMTTCCTTTTCTTTCCTCCCTTCCTTCCAGGTATGCTAGAGAAACTAGACCCTAGCTCCAAATCCACCCTCAGCTGTGGATGTGATCTTGCTGAGTGGTAGTCAGTAGGGTTTTCCAGGCAGGGTGGTTCAGGTAAACAGCATGGATTCCAGAGTCCTGGGCCTCAGTGTAAAACCCTTGGATCTGCCACTYTGTCCCAGAGAAAGGTGAACCTCCCTTTTAGTTTTTGATTGTTTTGATCTAAAAATAATAGTAATGCCAACTATGCAATGTTATTGTGAAGATTAAATAACAATAGCACTTTATAAATGAAAAAGTACTACAGAGATGGGTGTTTCCTGTGCTTTTTTTCTTTTGCTGTTCCTGTACTTGGGATGAGTGGATCCACTGTTCTACCGTCTAYGGTCCATTTACAAAGAGCTTTACCAGAGGATCATTGAAAAGGAGAAGGGCTTGAGTTATGGGTTTGTGCAAGGGCTAAGAACTGTGCTACTCTGGACTAGAATCTAAACTTGGACCCTGTTAGCATCAGGCACCAGTTGCTAAATGAGCCACCCACAGGCCATTTTATCACATTAGCTCAAACTTTGCTGTACACTGGAATCAAGTGGGAATTTTTCAAAAGTACTATAGCTTGGTTCCTACCCTCAGGCATTTCTAAAATAATTGCTATGGGGTATGACTCAAGCATCAGAATTTTAAAATCATCCTAAGTGATTTTATATGTATCAGTAGTTTGGGAACTACTGATATAAGTTACTCCTTGTGTTCCTCTTTTTTAGAAGTCTGGCTAYGTTAACTTTGTTACTGTAACAAAACACCTGGGATAATCAACTCAAAAAGAGGACAGCTTTATTTGACTCACAGTTTGGGAGGTGTCAGTCCATGGTTGATTAGCCTGTCATTTGGGGGCCTGTGGCAGGCAGCACACCATAAAGGGAGTGTGAGATGCACTAGACTGCTCACTTCATGGCAGCCAGTAAGCAAAAGAGAGAGAGAGCAAGGGAAGGGGATAGGGTTCTAATACCTTCTTCARTGCATGTCCCCAGTGACCTAAGTTCCTTTCACTGGGCCTTATCTCTTAAAGGTTCYACCATTTTCCAGCATAACAGACTAGGGACCAAGCCTTCAACATATGATCCTTTTGGGAATATTTTAAGGTCCAAACTGTAGCCATGGCCAAGAGAAAAGTTCACAAGTTTATGATGGTTACAAACTGATGAACTTGGGAGGAGAATTTTCTTTTTCTTTTTTAATCAGCTGTTTACTTTGACAAAGCATGGTACCATCATATGCATTTTCTCTTTTAAACCTCCCCCAAACCCTGATACTTAAAGATTACACATTTCATTTGGAAGGTAAAATACATAATTGTAGAAGGCTAAAGAAAATTCTTTAGGAATTTGAAAACAGGACATTTGGAGTGCCTTCTCTGTCTTTTCCACCAGATATTGACAGTCATTGAATCCTCCTGTGGGCTAATGGTATGTTTTCCCATTTTCTTTCCTYAGCTTTCTGGCAAAATCTGAAATGAAGCATGTTTATATCAGTGTCGAATAAAACCAGTGTAAACATTTTTTGGAAGAAGTGATAATAGGATTTTCATTTCAAGCTTAAATCTGATAAAAGAAKGCCTTTATTCCCTTATAAGAAATTATAAGGGAACTTATAGGCCAATACATAGTAATGTAGAAATTTTATGAGCAAAGCACTGTGGTCTGTGGCCTATCAGTAAGGCTGGCCCAGYACTTCACATTTTTCAGCTTACCTAAAGCATTTTCTCAAAATGGGAACATGTGCAGGCAAGTGTTCTCTGMTAATTGTTTATTCATTTAGCACTTACAGTGCATCTACTGTGTGCTGGGCTCTACAAGTCAAAAGATAACTAAAACATCTGTTACAGTAAAGGCAGCCAAGACCTCTGAGCAGTGGACAGAGTAAGGAAAATTCAAGTGTGAGTAAAGCCTCGTTGGTCTCAGTGTACTATAGGAATGTTGATGGCAATGGAGACAAAGAGGGGTCCGCCACACGGGGCTTTCACTGGGGATGCAGCGAGGTGTCACTGTGGAGGAGTTCAGAGAAGAGGTGACTTTTGAAGCTGTGGTTATGCCCCCTTATGCCAGCCCTTTGGGAATTTCCAAACCAGTGCGGTAGGAATCATGACCCAGTGACGGTAGGGCAGGGACTAAAGAGGAAATCCAGATGTGGAGAAGTTGGGTGAATGGCCACCGTTGCAATAGCAGCGAGAGGCAGGAATGAGACTCACCCTGGAGGGTTCTGACTCTAAGTTTAGTGTTCTTTCCATGACACTGAGTTTCCTCTGCTGCTTCAGCAACTGGCAGGTCCATGGAGATGAAAACATAGTCTGTAGCTTGTGGCATCAGGTGACATCTTGATTATTTTTTTCCAGTTGAACCTGGTTGCCAAGGAAAACTCTTTCTCCCTTCTGTACCCAGGCAGGGAAAGTGGTATCTCAAAAGGAAAACTGTGTCTTGAAAGAACTCCAGAAAACCTCATGGGGAAGTACAATTCTGAGATGGATTGTTCTTTTCTGAAATTTATGCTACAGTACAGCTGTCTACCAATACTTAAAATCACTAATACTATTTTGCCTTGGGTGTTATATAATTTCACAATTTGCAAATTAGATCTCATTCAAATAACTGCAACTTTACTCCAGACTCTAAGTCCTTTATGTTCATATATATATATATATATATATATATATATTTTTTGCCACATGTCTTACCAGCCTAACCCATCCCCAATTCACTGCTTGCTGATTCCCAAATAAATTTCTCCAGCCACAAATCTGTTCTTAATCTTTCCCAGGGCTGTTAAAATTGGGCTGTTCCAAAGAACTTTAAAGCCAACGTATCTCAAACCAAATTCATTATTTTCTTAATCTTCTTTTTTCTATCTCTTTAATAACATTTAACTCAATTGTCTAAACCAGACATGAAAGTCTGTGAATTCCAGTCCCCTGCCAAATATCTCTCTAGTTCTTCCTCCTCATTCTTTGCCACCTCAGCTGCAGTGGACTCCTAACTACTCCTTGAAACAATGATTATTTTCCTACATGAATCTACCTTGCTTAATACGCAGAGAATTGTCCAACCAGCTTGGACAAAAACAGAAACCTCATTTCAATTCAGTATTCAAATATTTTGAATAGGCTGCTATATTTTCGTGTTGTCAGTTAAGTGAATTTCTTTGATTGAGGGTTTCATCGTGTCTCAAGGCCATCATTCTGAAAACTGATAATTATTATATACTATCCATGTTGTAGCCAGTGTGACATTTGGCTTCAATGAATGTGTATCTTTTTTTTTTTTTTTAAGTTCATTTAAAATAACCTGTTTTTGTATCAGTTGTTTTTAACCTTTCTGGAGTCATAAGGAATGTGAAGAAAGTTGTGGATTTCTCTTGAGAACAATATACACATGCTCACTTGGCCTATAATTTCAAGATCTTTGTAACTCATCCATGGATATCTAGGTTTCAGCTATCATAAAACCTGGTTGAGGATCCCTGCCTGATATGAAATTATTTTCATATTTCCATATTATACATTCCTATTTTAAGTAAATGTTCTAATGAATTTGGTTTTTGYTGAGATGTGATTAGCTGTCTGTTTTCCCAGAGTCTGTACCACATCATCTAAAAATGTATTATGGATAGGGCAATGGATTCTTCCAAGCTCTAGGATTTTGTGAGGTTCTTTAACTAGTAAAGGGTGGTAGGAATCAACTTGGATTCTCAACCAGGGGACCTGAATTCTTGTCTCCACATGCTCTACTAACTTTGGGAAACTTTTAGAAACATTAATTCAGGTGTACAACAAAGCACATCTGACATAATATTTTATTTGAATTAATAGCATCTTTTTCATTTCCACTATATTATTTTCCTCAACAAAAACCTGGATAGAAAGTGAATGATATCAAACTATTCAATACCTAAGAATAAATAAAGGAGGGGTGGGATAATCTAAGTGGTACAGCACTTTCCTGACATGTATGAGGCCCTGAGTTCAATCCCCAGCACCACAAATAAAATTAAATAAAATTAGAAGAATAAATAAGGAAAGGAACACAAAGAGAAGCTTACTGAAATCAGTTCCAATAAGGAAATATGCAAAAAGGCCCCTTCAGATTCTAGCTCCTAAGTCTCTTCATTGATAGATCTCTGCTCTTCAACTAGTGTCAGGATTCAATTCAAACTACCTGTGAATTGAAGACATCAGGCAACACAGACTGAATTCACCTATATCAAATTGAGTCCATACAATAATTTGGTCATGTAGGCAAGTATGAATGATGACTAACAACATTTTGGCAGAAATGATAGGCTATTAATAATGGTTATTAATAATTTTGTCTAACGGGGACACTTTGGGAAAATATAAATTTGATTATGCCTTTGCATATGAACTTAGTTTTTCAGAGCTACCCTTTACTATACTGTGGATGAGAATATGAACTTGGCTAATTTTACCTGAGTTCTCTAGAATATTTCTAGTATTCTCCAAAAAAATAATCACACCATGGACCAAATATTCTTGCTTGCTCTTTCTGTCTGTCATATTCTAATTGAGCCATTGCAAGGAACTTGGAGATCTGTTCCATCCTGTGTAGGCAGGGAACTGAGGCAGAGCATGGTTAAATAATTTGCAGAGGTCACACACTGCTGACCAGTAGCCGATCTAAGGTGAACTAGCTCACACATCTTCTGGCCACCAGTTCCCACTTGTTTTCTTATCTTTCAAATAAGAAAGCATTAGTTAACTCAGAAAATGAAAAAAACTTACCAGACAAAGGCTCATATCAGCCCCAAACCCCATAATGATTAATTTTATGATAGTTTTCCCAACACTACAATTATATACTTGCTCACCCTCTTCACCCCCACATCAGGTTCTTCTTCACCATAATGTGCTTCTCCAGTTAAATAGTTTTGTCATCGATCTGACTTGATTGTTTTCTAGGGACATCTGAAATAGGCAGAAACAGGTTTATAATTTCTTCAGTTAAAAGGATAAAGCCTTTGTTACATTAGACTTTCAAATTTTATCAAATTGAAAAGTGGCATCCTAGCTCTACAAAGCGCAGTTGTGTATCAATTAATGTATCAGAAGCTATTTAATGAGAGATAGTGTTGTACTTGGCACTCTGGTAGGCAGACTAGGAAAGACAGAGAGAGAGAAAGCATATTTCTGTCAGAAAGGAATTAAGAGGTGAAGAAGGGATTGAAAAAGAAACCTCAGGGCTGGGGATGTGGCTCAAGCGGTAGCGCGCTCGCCTGGCATGCGTGCGGCCCGAGTTCGATCCTCAGCACCGCATACCAACAAAGATGTTGTGTCCGCCGAGAACTAAAAAATAAATATTAAAAATTCAAAAAAAAAAAAAAAAAAGAAAAAGAAACCTCAGAAACAATTAGAGACCCGTGACGTTCTACGTAATAGTGAACGTTGTGGAACAATGAGAGAGAAAGATCAATAAACCCAAGAATAATAAATAACAGCTTTGTGGGCAAAATAGGATTTGAACTTGGCCTTGACCAGTGGATAGAATTTGACTGGCAAATAGAATTTAAAGAGGCAGAAGGAGGGCATTGAATGATTGGGCAATGCCATTGGAGTAGGAGTTAACAGGGTATGTGAGATGAACAATGGGTGGCCAGGCTGACTGAACCAAGGGTCCAYGATGCCAGTAGTTGGAAATAAGGTTGAATAGGAAGGTAGGCAGGTAAGCCGAAGACTGATTGAACTCAGAGCTCTTGAATTTGAATCCCATCTGTGCACCTTGGAGCATATAACTTCTCCATGCTTCAGTACCCTAGGTAACAGGAGATAATAACAGTCTTCCTGTTTTATTGTTAAGGATATTTAATTTGATTCACCAGTAAGGTTTACTACATTGCTTCCCATGTGTTCTATATAGCTTAGTAAGCATTTTCATGCCCTCTGGTTTGGTTGGGAAGTGAAATTGAACATGCTACAACAATATTAAATGATTATATTTTAGGTGAAGCCAGACCAAAAAAAGACTTGAAAGTAGTCTGAGAGTCTGAACTCTAATAAACAACACAGAGCTGTTCTTAAGCAGAGTTGAATTTAGGGAATCTCAGTTTATAAAGTGTCTATTCAGACCTTTGGAGCATTTGAATACTGTGCTCTGCTCTCTTCTAGTTGCTCAGACATCTCACCCTGGGGAAGGAAACCACTTGGCTGCCTGCACTGGTATGTGGATTGGTGACAAACAGCAGGGACGGCATTTGGTCTGAAAAGAAAAAATGAAATTGGATTTCAGGGGATTAAAGTTAGTCACATTTTTGTGGTTCTTTTCCTTTGCAGTGGGTCTTTAAGGGTCCAGTTCTGAGGTTAATAAAAAAGCTGGAGAACAAGATTGAATATTAACGAGTACCTCTTGGATAGTTACTGGAAAGTTACTATAGATGGTCTCTGAATAGGCCTTTGCCCTCTTAGAAACACTGACTCTTGTAACCTCTAGGCATGGGCTTGACTGCACCAGTTCATCTTGTGGCATTCCAAGGAGACCGATTAGCAGAGGCAGAGGAGCCATGTCCAATTGTCAAGGGTGGAGAGGCACCGCTCAAGTCTTGGGATCTGGCCATTAGTCAATAGTCCTCTGACCCTCTTAGTCTACTTCAGCTAGGCTCTTCTCCAATTCTGATTGTCTGGCCTTTGCATAATTACAGTGTCTTCCCTGTGGGATTTGCTAGTGATTCTTGGACTGTGAYGCTAAAGCAAAGAGGCCCAACAAGTTACTTGCTATTTTCATTAAACTTAGCCAGTTTCTCCAATAGTTTACCTATTTAAGGTTAACTATGTTTAAACACCCAGCAGTTGCAGATTATCTTGGATGAGTTAAAAAGTTTTTCTTTCAAGCCATTCTGCTTTTCAGATTGAACATTCTCCTTGGCACTTTATATTTTGCAACCTCGGCTTCTGCTGTCATCTTTTAGGAATTTGGAATCAGAGTAGAACTGTGACTTTACCCATACGTGATGGTGATCAAGGTCAAGCAGGAGTTTGAGGGGGGAAGTCCTTAGCCCATTTTGCTACTCTAAAAGGGTAATTAGTGATAAAGAAGGGTAAAATATTGGCCAAACCTGGTGCTTGATATTTTTTTAATCAGGAACATACCCATGGTGAGTAAAATACACAATATTATGATTAAGTTACAGAAGACATACCAGACAATGTACAAATAACATGAAGTAAACATACAAGAAGAAGTTATCTGTGCTTCACCTATCATGTGGTCACACCATCTAAAATACCTTATTTTTTGCAGAAATAAATATTAAGGAATGTTCTTGAGACCTTTCCTACTGATCTTGGAGAACATAGTTATAAAAGTGAGAAATACAGTACATAGTCCACAGTAACATCTTTGTATTAAAAAAAAAAAAAGTTTTCCTGCCACTGTACAAAAGTCAAAAGCTGGTTATCCTTTTTGCCCTTCCAAACTCCCCTGGTGTGTCTGATGCCAGGAGCCCCTCTTCCTAAATTTTATGGTGTGTCCACAGAGCCCCTCAAATGGAAGCTTGGACTTTACTCTGTTTCTTCTCCCCTCCCCATTTTAAAAAGGCTTTAAAGAACATCTCTGGGAGACAAAAATAGCCCCAGTTGTGAGAGGCCTGCACACTGGGAATGCAACCGAGACATGCAAGTCAGCAAGTGCACGCCGCGAACATGAGTGTCTGGCCCTGGGTGGATGCTCCTCGCTATCTTGGTGCCGATTCTCTGCCTGGGCCCGGTGGGTAGAAGGGAGAAAGGTTTTACAGGGTGGGAGGTGGGTCGGGTTGGTTTGGGATCCGATCGCCTAAGAATGGAAACCCCAGCATTCTGGCTCAGGGGGCTCTTCCTTCCCTTCCCCCCACGTTTTTCAAATTTATTTTGCCCAGGCGAGGATTGGCGACGGTCAGAAGGGAGCAGTTGGTACTGAGTGTCACCCTGAAGGTAAAATGAAAGACAAAAGATGAACGCATGCTTGCTTTCCTTTTGCAGCGGCTGCGGCGGCGGCAGGAGCAGCAGGATTTAAAGGGGAAAAAAAAATCACACGCACATACACACATATATACACACCCAGAGGCGTCAATTATGCAAACGCAATAATGCGATCAAATCATGACTGTGCCGGGAATTTTTTTTTTTWAAATATAGATATTTATTTTAAAAAAACAGAGAGAAACGCATGCAAACAGAAACGTGCACATACCACGTAACCACCCGAGGAGAACCTGGCAGCCTCTCTCTTCTTCTGCCAAGTTATCATTGAGAAAACAGACAGGCATCATGACGTCCTGGGTCACAGGGAGTGCGGACCGACGCTACCAAGAGAAAAGGGAGGCGCCTCAGCGCTCCGGCTAGCCGCGGGCGCCCCTCTGCCCCTCGCAGCCTGGCTCGGTGAGTGCACAGCCGCTCGGGACGCGGACCCCGGGTGCCAGGCCGGCCCCGTGCCCTCAGGGGCAGAGCGGGGGGCCGTGCCCTTGCCACCGGCGGGCCGGCCAGCACCCCCTCTCCTGCTGAGGTCGTGGGAGCCCAGTTAAAGGAGGCGTGTGTAAGATGTGCAATGTTCCTGCATGGGGGTTTTGTAGACTTTCATAGCCAAAGAAACCGGCTTCGGCTTCTTTAAAATCCCCGACGACTCACCTGATTAACCTGCTGCAGTTCTGACCCTGCCAAGGTAACTGCTCCAAATCCTTATCATCAACATCTGGAGACAGACATTTGCATCTGGGGCATTCTTTATTTGCAGTCCTGGTTGAAATCTGTATTGCTACCCCCTTCCCCCCTTCACTTGCTTAGAGTCTCTTGGAGGAAAAAAAAAAGAAAAAGAAAAAGCAACCCCTCCCTCAATAACACAACCCTAAGTACTGCCCACCTCTTGTAGACTTGCCTGACCATGACTGCAAAACTGTCAGCGTGTGTGCTAGAGACACAGATAAATCCTAATTGCAATTAGATTTGTTCTTTCAACACCCCTCCCATCCCCCTTCCTGGATAGAGACTTAAGTGCTTGGTAAAGTGGCAAAGAGTGAGGGCAGAGTTCAGCACCGGCACTGGGAGGGGTTAGGGGCGAGGGGATGTGGGGCAGGGGTCTTGTGGGAGAGGGTGGTGCCAGGAGTTGAGGACTGCTGTCATGGGCTGGAAAATCCTTCTGGTGACTGCAGCTGCTGTAGGTGTCTTCCTCCTGTCCTCTACGCTTCTTTCCCTCCTGTCTCCCCAACCCTTTCACCTTCCCGAGGGAGTCGCTGAAGTTGCACAGAGGTCACCAGACCCTCATTTAAGTATTGCAAACCACCCACTCCCTTCTGCCCCTCAAGTGTGTGAGAGAGTCTTCAGGATAGAGTGCCCCCCCCTACCCACCCCTGTTTGGTGATGGGAGATTCTCAGGGAGAGAAAGACACAGAGGGCAAAGCTCCACTCTGCCCCTCCTCCCCTCCTCTTCCGGCAACCTTTCCCTAGCTGCACCCCCCTCCGTCTTTCAGTCTTTCAGAATTTTAATGAGCAATTCTGGAAGAGTCCGGAAAGGCCTGCAGACACCCCCCACCCCCACCCCCTCAGTGTTGTGGAATGATTATGTATGTGTTTATTTATTGTGCTTGCTTGGGTTATGTTGTGAATTGCCACATGGATTTGCTTCTGCTAGGGAAGCACGTTTGCTATGTTTGTGTTGTAGAATCAGAACCAGTGGCCATGGGGGAAGAGGGACACACAGAGAAACCAAATGATTTGGTTAACATAAACCAGAGGGCAGTGTTGAAAAAGGCACCCTCTCATCCAGGCCCCTCAAAAAATAAAATAAAATAAAATAAAAATATGAAAAAGAACTAGAGAAAGAAAAAAGAGGAAGAAAGACTTTCAGCCAGCTTTCAGCCAGCTTATGGGTTCAGAGAAGCTCTTAGGTCCACACATGACCACCCACTACTTTCAAAACACTCCTGCTTAATACTTTTAAGATCTGGAGACCTGCGGATGTGGTGAAGTGTGTTTCAGAGCAGCTGAGTGACTTGGTCTAGTTTATAGAGAAACTTGTTTCTCACGCTGCCCAAAGACCAAATAGGGGAGTATGTTTGGAAAATGCCCAAATTCAAAAGCAGCAGGCAAGAGAAAAAGAAGCAGAAAAATGTCTTAGAAGGAGGCAGGGGATGGGACTTGGGAGTGGTTTCAGGATCTCCCCCCCTCCCCCTCCTGTCCAGTAATTTGATGTTATCAAAATGAGTTAACCAACCTGAGAAACAGTTCTGTCATTGTGAGAAAGAGAGGGAAATTTGAACAGTTCTCAAATCTGAGCTGAGGAGTGGCTGACAGAAGGTACACAGACATGCTGATGGAGATGAAGTGACACTGATGGGGTTTCTTTTCCTTCATACTTGAAAAGCATCAGCTATGTAATGAAACAGGCCTAGCTAATCTTTGAAACAGCTATATCAGTTATGCATGGCTTTGTTATTTTTCTTAAAGCAATTCTCATAACTGTTTAAACTTGCATAGAATTAAATGTGTATATATTGGGAATGGTATCATATTGCACATCAGACTCTCCATTGACTGGGATGATAAATGTAGATGAAAGATGTTTTTTTTTCTTTAATAAATCAAAACAGCATTTAAGTCTTCGTGCATGATACATCCTAAAATGTGCTGGTCATCTTTAACAGGAATTGCCTGGGAGCTGAGGGAATTTGTGATGGGTGGTGTTTTAACAAAATAGAGCAGATCAATCGATTAGGTTTCCATGTGTGTGCGGCTCAATTTATTCTGTACAATTTTTCCAGAAATTAAAAGGTTACCAAGAGAGTACCATGTTCCCATCTCCAACTGAGCACCACTTATTACTGCAACAGTATTTCAATATTAAGTGATCTTCAAGATATTTCATCTTTCATTTGAGTTCTGAATTTGAATCAGCATGAGAAGGGCAGAGCAGCAAGATAAGGTATAACTCACCACACAGACCTCTGAGAGGCTCCTAGGAAAGTGTTGCTGAGAAAAATATCTAGGCCTGTTCTTGGTAACCTTGTTTACAGGGACATTTCAGTTGAAGCTAGAATTCTAGTGAGAGTCTTCCAGAGGTAATGGACTTATGTTTGGRATTGATCTTAAGTGTCTCTTTTTTTCCTCCTTAGCAGACGTGCTATGCACCTTAGCAGAACACTCTAGGCAAAACTTTTCTGACACCCCAGGACATTTTCTAATGTAGAGAAATCCCTGGATTAGTGTGCCACAGGAAAGGGGGTTATTTATGAGGCTGTCCTTTTGTTTACAGATGTGTTAGTACCAGTATCTTTAGTCTTATATTTTTTATTTTTTCTTAATTTCTGATTGATTCTGTTCAATGCAAAGCAAATCCTATTTGGGGAGGTTCAAGTATTCCTTTCAGATTGACCTATGAAATTGGTTTCAGCTTGACATTGAAGATATTATCACACCAGGGAAGGGTCTTTATGATATGATACAGAAATTTTACATTTGTTTCAGAATTGTTGGAAAACTGTTGAAATAGAAATATTTTGAGGAAAATGCCAAAAGCCACATTAATGAAGAAAAACACTGTTGAGATACTTTTGAATAATAGATAGGATATGTAATGGTCAACCACAAGATAAAATTTTTACACAGTATTTTTATGGCTTCAAATTGGCTGCATTGTAAACTAAGCTTACTACTCTATTAAGTCATTATACTTTTCAATTATTTAACATTTCTGGCGGAGCTATCTTCTGTGGTCTTTTTCCGTACACATCAGAAATGATATGTACAGTAGTAATTGCTTGTTGTTAGTGTGAGGACTTTGCTATGGAGCAAGGTTTAATTTTAACTTCTAGGGACAAACATTATGAAGAATTCACAGAGAAAAATGAGTTTTATAGAAATAACTCTCACCCTATGAAATGGGGATAGCTATGGCATTGAAATTCACCTAATATAATCTGAGTTATGCTCACTAAGAAACCTTGACAGTATCTGCCTTCTAGGTACTGTGCATTTGGAAATAGTATATCTCCATTTAAATGCAGATCTTCAGTTTTCTCCAGGGAGCAGTTGGTGAATCTTTCAATTGAACTACTGGTATGAGAAAACCTACTGAAATTTCTCCATGAACAATAGAAACTGCCGTTTTGAAATAACGATTACCAAGTATCATAATATTGTGATTTTTAAATTCATTGAAAATCTCTTTATAAAGTCAAAATAATGTACTGGGGCCTCTGTGCAAACAAAGAAGTTTTCTCCTGTCATTTTGTTGTCAGTTGGTTAAAGCTGTGAAATACTATGGCTCCGAAGTTCAGGGTTCAGGTTAGTATTGCCATCCCAGTAGAGTAAGTGGACCTTCAGGTTCAGAGCAAGGAATTATGCGTAAGTTCAGCCAGCTCTCACCCTCTCATGCTGGCATGTGGGGCTGGGGGTAAGTGCTGTAGGAGAATTTAAGGATCTTTCTCTGAAGCAATCTTCTTTATGTTATTTTGGATCTAACTTATCATGGTACTTTGTACTGGAATGGGTGGTGGTGGTGGCTAAGCAGAACCAGAGCCTGAGTGGCCTTCTTTTAAGAAAGTCATAGCTTTTGAAATATGACACCTCCAGGGTTCTGGTCCCTTAGAATAAAGGGAATTGGACAAATCCTTGCAAATCTTTAAATAAAAATTCCTGACAATGTGGCTGTGATAAGATCCCTGTGATAATGCTACAAGTCTTTGTGTCTTTATCACATAGATAGGGAACTTTTCTTTTTCTGGGAGATTAGCTACCATTCATTTATTCAAACCTGATTATTTCCAATTGGACAAGGCCATCTCCTTCTTGCACAGTACTGGCATAGACCCCTTTTCTTATTTAGACATGCCTATAGACATTTAATAGTGCATTTAGAACATTCTCAATAACACCAGTAGTTGTGGAGAAGTGTCTCTTATAGTTTTAAATCAGGCCTTTATTTATAGTTCTATAGTGGAGGATGTGTTGTTCATGGTTGCCACCAAAGACAGTTGTTTTTGACAAAACTGTGATAAAATAATGGACACTGGCAATTCAAAGATATTTTATTTGCTTATGGATACTTATGGCTGGTTCAGATGTCAGTCTGCTACAATAAATATCCTTGGGATGTGGCTCAGGGGTACTTTGCTTGTCTAGTACATAATGAGGCTCTGGGTTTGATCCCCAATATGGGAACCTCCCCCTCTCCAAAGTCCCTCCAAACTCTGGATAGGACTCTAAAAAGGATACTAACACATTAATTTACTTCCCTTAAACAAATTATTTAACTTGGAAAATCTGCATATCTGACAACATTTTTTACTGTTTTAAAGATCGAAAT